TAGATGAAAATGAAAGTCCAATTGACACTATAGAGAAAGCGAAATTTATAAATAAGGCGACTGAAAATGAAATAACACCTGTAGCAGTTAAGAGTCAAAAAAGCTATCTTATAACTTGGATAAATAGCTATGAGTTGTATGTAGATGGTGATAAAATTTTTAAATTTAAAGCACAGAGAGAGCATATGTAAATGAAAAAAAAACTTGTGGATTTTCTTGTAAAAGACCATTAAACTTTTTTTTATTTGTATTCACATCTGTAATGGTGATATATATATTTTTTATTTATATATTGTCATTCTGGCAATATAATTTTTTATAATAATAAAGAGAGGGGCATGCTGGCTTCCATTTTTTTATTTTTACGTGATTTTTTACAATATTATTTGCAATTATTTATTAGTAGAGACTATTGAGTTAACTTTATTAATCTATGCTCTTACAGTTACTATTGGGATTCAAGTATAAGCCCCTCCAACATTTACACAATCGCGTGTTAATACTGGGCCTATGCTACGATCATAAACTTGAGTTTATTACTTGAAGTGTTGCAGATAAGACAATATTCCAACTTATCTTGGAAATACAACTTTGTTAATTCGGGATTATAAGAGAGCTGATTCCCATTTTCGTAATACCATTCGTTATATAATCCATAATTCCTATGTTTTTCATTGCAAATAGGGCATGGTGAGCTTCACGGTTAAGGTAATGCAAAAATATAATTATCAATTTCCCTAAAACTATTTCAGAATTTCAAGTATGGGAAGTGCTCTAAGATGGATTTGATAATTAACTCTGAATTAGGTTTGGCTTCGAACATGATAGGCTTGAAATCAGCTATTTTGATAACAAGATTTCGTTTTTCTTCTGGATCATTGGGTAAGATAGAAATTAGAAGATGAGAATTGAGAGATGCATTTTTGTTTATAGGTAATATGCATACCTCTGTTTATCTTCGATTTGAGAGGATCTAGAAGTTTCAAAGTTTATCCAAGGATCAAGTCCAGTTTTATTCTTATATCTTTTATATAACCTAGAATGAATTTTATCTGACAAAATGCTTGGTAATTCTATTAATTTAGCTTCCTACTCTAAATATTCAGGAGTTAATATTTTATTGGTATTTGTTTGTGAATTCATGTTGCCGTGTTATATAATTGCACATCTCTTTAAATTGATAAAAGCCGAGAAAAATAAATATGCTTCAGAGCGTTTTTTCTTATAAATTTGAAAAAAGAAAAAAAAAGTAATTAGCTTCTGTTTAAATGCAAATACATATAGTGATCACTTACTTTCTGGCTTCGAGCAAATATTGCGAGAAGCCAGAGTTCATGCTGTTACCTCAATTTCAATTTCATGCTGTTTATATTTAAGATTATAAGATCCAATTTCATATTTGCCTTCTATACTATTTTCATCGTTATGATCCAACTTACATAGCGGACATAGTGATTTATTAGTAATTCCATAATAATTATCATTTCCATCACTATCTTCTTGGCATAAATTAGGATATTGCTTTAATATTTTATTACAGAAATAAACATGATCACGAGTTGGATTAGATGGAGATATAGGTGATGAGCATAGCGAACATTCATTGTGATTGGCTAGATTTTGTTGATCATCTTGTGATTTTATTTGCTGATCGACCAATCAA